CGATGCTCTATTCACTGAGCCAAACCAATTAGTGCTGTACCTGACTATACATTATTGGAGAAAATAAATCTTAAGTAAGAACACCAATGGATCCTTTCACACATTTGAAGCACTACCAGGGAGAAGGGGCCCAGGCATAGTCTCAGCCGTCCCTAATGGCAAAATGGGGTGAGGAGGTGAAAACATGGGGAAACAGATTTCCATGAAGTAGAAGGAAAAGCTTTCTAACATCATTGCCTAAGCAGAGAACAGTCTGCTTTTTGAAAAAGTGAGCTCGCCAGCACTGGAATATTCTAACAGTATTGGATACACACATACCAAGGATAATACACTATATGCAAGGCCATCTTTTCTCCCTAATAGTAGGCAGGGTGTGGACCATGTCATATCTTTTTTTCTCTTCCAGTTACAAGCTTTGGTGTTTTTAAATAATTGGATTTATTTCTTATTCCACTTTTTAAAAAAATATGTTTTATTGATTATTTACAAAGAGGAAGAGGGATAGAGAGTTAGAAACATTGATAGATCAGCTGCTTCCTGCACACTCCCTACTGGGGATGTGCCGGCAACCAAGGTATGTGCCCTTGACTGGAATCGAACCTTGGACCCTTCAGTCTGCAGGCCAACACTCTATCCACTGAGCCAAATCAGTTAGGGCTCTTATTCCACTTTTTTTTTTTTTAAATATATTTTATTGATTTTTTTTCAGAGAGGAAGGAGAGAGAGAGATAGACAGTTAGAAACATCGACCAGAGAGAGACATCGATCAGCTGCCTCTTGCACATACCCTACTGGAGATGTACCCGCAACCAAGGCACATGCCCCTGACCAGAAATGAACCCAGGACTTTTCAGTCCGCAGGCCAACACTCCATCCACTGAGCCAAACTGGTTTCGGCCTCTTATTCCACTTTTAGGGGGTGCACTATGAATTCCTCATAATATGTAGAAAACTAACTTTACAAACAGATAAAAGTCAACAGAGGCAAAACTGGTTCTTTTGAAAATGTTAATAATATTTTATAATAAACCTTTTTATTATAAAATATAATAATATTCTATTATAAACCCTTTTCAAGTCTGATCAAGAACCAAAAAAATAACACATTTTAATTCCTTTCACTCAGAAACACCCAACCAATTTCATATAGTTGCACATCCAACAATCATTGAGTAAAAGTGTAGTTATCCATGTTATTTCCATCCCCAATTCTCCAATTTTGCATTTTTCGACGTGTCTAGCCTTATATTTCATTATTCTACAATCTTATCTAGCTAGAGTGGGTTCTGTTGCCACATCTTAAGTCATCTATTCTGCAATTGGCATTGTCTCCTCATCAAGGATAAGGTTTGGTGTCCCATCATTCCCATCCTGCTATAATTCAAAATAAAGGCAGTACTAAACCACAAAACACATATGCTTATTTTAAATCTTTTCTTTCTAGACTAATTTGCAAGATTCCAGTTAGGCACCGAAGCAAAATCTCTTTCTCCCTTCATCCCTTCTCTTTCATGCCCCTGCTGTACAGGTGTCCTAAATGTATGCCTAATCTGCCTCTAGTCCTGCACTGCTCAAAACAAGAATCCCCAGTTGGTCATACTGAATACCTGAAAGGGGGCTGGTCTCAACTGAGATGTGCTATAAATATAACATACACACCCAGATTTTGAAGACTTACTACAAAAAAAAAAAAAAAAAAAAAAAAAAAAGACTGCAAAATATTCCATGAATAGTGTTGGATGTTGAGTTATAAGTGAAGCAATACTTTGGGTACATTGGGTTAAACAAAATATGTCATTAAAATCAATTCCGAGCCCTCCAATGTGGCTCAGTTGGTTGAGTGTAGCTCTGTGCACCCATAGGTCACCAGTTCAATTCCCAGTCAGGGCACATACCCAGGTTGTGGGTTTGATCCTCAGTGGGTGGCATGCAGGAGGCAGCTGATTGATGTTTCTCTTTTACTGATGTTTCTATCTCCCTCTCCCTTCCTCTCTTCCTAATAAAATCAATTTCAGGATTTATTTTATTTTTTAAGGTGGCTACTAGAAATTTTAGCATTATATCTGTGGTTTGCATTGTCATTCTATTGGACAGCGCTGGTCTAAACAAGTAATGGCTGGCATGAAGAGCCTGTGTCATTGAAACAGACTCAGACGTAGAGACTAGACTGGTGTTTGGCAGAGGTGAGGGGGCTTAGGGAATAGGGTGAAAGAGTTGAAGGAATTAAGTACAAATTGATAGTTACAGAACAGTCATGTGGATGTAAAGTACAGGATAGGAAATAGAGTTAAAATATTGTGATAACTGTGTATGGTTGCTGGGTGAGTAATGAAAATATCAGGGCAACACTTTGTAAAGTATATTATTATCTAATCACTATGCTGTACTCCTGAAGCCAATACAAAATAATATTGAAAGTAAACTGTAATTGAAAAATTAAAAATAATTTCCAAAAAAAAGTACATAAAGATTCTATGTCATTCTGGAGGGAGAGAGAGGTAGAAACATCAGTGATGAGAGAGAATCACTGATCAGCTGCCTCTTGCACACCCACTACTGGGAATCGAACCCTCAAGCCAGGCATGTACCCTTGACCGGACTGGAACTCGGGACTTTAAGTCCTCAGGCCGACGCTCTTTCCACTGAGCCAAACCAGCCAGGGCTACAATCTTTTCAAATAATGGAAAAAGTGATCCAGTCACTCATCGCTTTGAGTGAGGAAAATAAATAAATAAGTAAAGCTATGTTAATGGGGTTGGAGTTTTTTGTGAGGTAAGGAATTTTTTAAAAATATATTTTATTGATTTTGTAGAAAGGAAGGGAGAGAGAGTTAGAAACATCGATGAGAGAGTCATCGATTAGCTGCCTCTTGCACACCCCCTACTGGGGATATGCCCGCAAGCAAGGTACATGCCCTTGACCGGAATTGAACCCGGGACCCTTCAGTCCCCAAGCCGACGCTCTATCCATTGAACCAAACCGGTTTCGGCGAGGTAAGGAATTTTGAGCAAAATTTTAAATATTTTTAAGACGAGGAATAATCTGATTTTGCCGCTTTGCTGTATCTTTACTTTCATTCAACCAAAGCTCGTTCTTTCCAGCAAATCTCCAGTTTGTTGGCAGATATAAAAATACATTCGCAGAGTCTCCCAGATGCTGTGCCATCAGCCTCTGAGACTGGAAGGGAGGGAGCCTCATTTCCTTAGGCTGCTGTACACACGTCCTCCTTCTCCCGCCTCTCGCTCCGGCTACACAGATCAAAGTCTTTCCCCCCCAACCCCCATTCTTGGTAGTTCTCAAAGAAAATCTGGAGTCCAGATAGGGCTGAGCCCAGAGAGGGCGACCCCTTGAGGGCAGACCTTGAGGTATCCCCCATCGCCTCCCTCCCTCCCTCCCTCCGCGGTGGCCGGAGCTGCGCCCCCTCTCCGTTCCGCCCGAGAGCACCACCAGCGGAGAGAAATCCGTTACCAGCGGCGGTGTCCCTGAGGGCCACTCCGGGCGGAGCGCGGGGAAACCGCTGTGCACACCCTCCGGGCCTGCGGGCTGGGCGCCTAGCGGCTCAGGTTACACACAGGTGAGTGTGGCCCCTGGGCGAGCTGAGGGAACCCCTGGCCAGGCGCGCCCCCGAAGCTGGCACCCATCTGACCACCTCCCAGGGGCGGAGGCAGAGCTGTGCTCCCCTGGGTGCACCAGACAGAGCAGGGGCCGTGGGAGGGGAGCGTATCCCCCCCATCTCCGGCACGACTGCTCTTGGAAACTTGGTATCTTTCTCTTTCTCTTCCCTCCCCTCCAGGTATAAAGATAGACAGGGAAACACAAAGCCGAAAACAAATACATTTCCAGCCACCACTCCAGCTGAGGCAGTTAAGGGGATGTAGCCTTCTCGCTGGCTTCCTGAGAAGGTACTTCCCAGCCTCCGAATTGGGGGAGAGAGGGAGAAGCAGGCGGTGAGGGGAGGCCATCGTGGAAGCGGGCGAGGATAAGAAATTCGTTTTCAAGCTGTGTGTTTGCATCAAGGGCAATGGGCGTTTTATTTCCGCTGTGTTCCCATTTCTGGTGATGATGGGGCTCTTGGGGTGCAAGGTTGAGGTGGAACCCTTTGGGGGAATAAGCCGACTTGTTTTTCTTTCCATGAATGGTACAAAACAATGGGTTCTAAAGATGCTGAGCTCTTCCATTTATTATCGCCGTGTTCATGTGGTGGGACTGTGGGAGTGGATGGGAGCTTAAAGCCCTCAGGTTCCCCCTTTACCAGATCACAGCCCTGGGGCGTCTCCCCACAACTTCCCCCCTCCGCTCGCCAAGATTTCAGCAACTGCCGGGGACGGTTCACAAAGTCCATTTTCTGGTCGGAGACAAAGCTTTTGGGGGGTGAAAAGGGGGGGATTGGTGTATGTGTTTGTGTGTGTGGGGGGGCGGTGTGTGTGTGTGTTTGGGGGGGCATTCTCAGGAGGCCCTAAGTCTCCGGAGGGATGCCCTGGGAAGCGGATCTTAGGTTTAACCTCAAAGTTTGCCCCGAGGTGCCTGGGATGGGGAATGGTTGGGGGTTGATTAAAAAAAAAAAGTTCTCCCCGTTTTAAAAAAGGGGAGGGGGGGGGAGAATCAGACGTTAAATTCTTTTGCAAACATTCATGCCTAAGGAAGGGCTGGAACAGGCAGCCCCGGCCGCCGCCGGAACCGGTCGGACAGGTAAGCGAGCTTGTTGACACCGTTATGTTGCAGGGCGCATGCTCACTCCCAAGTTTCCTGGTGCCTTTTCTATTCCACCTTATGAAACTTTACCGCGGCGTGGTCTCATCCCGCGATTGAAGGCATAGGTGTCGCCGGGCCAGGAGCGCCGGGGGGGAGGCCGGGGCCGGCCGCGGCGGGGGACGGGGGGAGAAGGTCGGCTAAGGCGGGAAGGTGGGCTCTGGCCGCCGGCAGCCGCGACCCAGACAGACATCGCTGCGGGTTCCTAGCGGGGAGCCGCCGGGACCAGGGGGCCGGGAGGGGGCCTCGCGATGCCCAAAGTCTTCCTGGTAAAGCGGAGGAGCCCGGGGGTCTCAGTCCGCAGCTGGGATGAGCTCCCGGACGAGGAGAGGGCGGACACCTACATCCCAGGTGAGCACGGCTCCGGGGGCCAAGGCCTGGCGCGGGGCTCTTCTTGTGGTGAGGGTTGGGGTGAGCGGGTTCCCTCTTCTCATCCGCTGGGGGTGGGGGATTCCCCACCCCCTGCTTCTTCCAGGGGAAGAGGAGGGAGTCTCAGAGGTGCGGGAAGACAAGAGGGAGAGGCTGGGAAACCCTGGGCATCGTGCTCCCCTTCCCCCTAGTGGGCGCCTCTAATTGCCCGGCGGCGGCGGGACCGTTGGCTGCGGCAGGAGCCGAGGTGGTCCAAGCAGGGGGTGGGGTTGAACGTCTGTAGGGGCTACTACCCCCAACTCCACGCCTTCGTGGGTTACTCGAGGATCGGTGATCCCCTCTGGGGCTGGGAATGTAGATATCAGAGCCCTCCACCCCCATCCCAGGTAGAGGGAACTTGGCGCGCGGGGTCCCGCACTTCCTCGTGGCCCGGGGACCCGGACTGAGCAGCGGCCCCCAGGACGCCGACCTCTCTCGGGAGGCCGAGCCGTGGGCTGGGGGAGGGGGGAGAAGAAAGAAGGGGGCTCGCGAGCGCACCCCCTCGGCGTTGCCCACTTGGCGAGGTGCCCAGGTCCGGGGCGGGGCGGCACTGGCGGCACCGCCCGCAGGTCAAACTACCGAGGGCGCCCGGGCCTGAAGCCGTGTGTCTGTGTGTCTATAGGCGCGGCCCCTCCCTTCCCGGCGGGTCTGGGCCGCCTGCTCTGCGACCCCCCCGAGGACTGCCGCAGCGACGGCGGCAGCAGCAGCGGCGGCGGCAGCAGCAGCTGCGCGGGGGAGCCCGGGGGCAACGAGAGCAACTCGTCCGCACGCACCCCCGAGCGCGAAACCCCGGAGCCCGCCGATGCCGAGGACCCCGGCGGACACCTGGCGGCGGAGCAGCGCCCGGTCGCCAGATCGAAAATCAAGGTACGGAGCCGAGTCTGCCGGGGCCGCCACCTCCACCACGCCCTGGCGTCGGGCTCCCGGGGCCAGCGCCCCTCCCTGCCGCGCCCGCCCGCGCGCCCGGCTCCGGTGCCTTCGGCGCGGGCCCTGCACCTGCCCCTGGGCCGCGGCCAGGGCGCGTCCTCCGATCGGCTGAGGGGAGCCACCCGCCCGCGCCGCTGCTCCCCAAGGCCGGCTCCCTGCGCGGGCACAGCCCGCCGGCGGCCTAGGGAACTACCTGGAAGGCTCAGGCTCAGCTTCTTTCCTTCCATTCGGTGCGCTGGGGCCAGAGAACAGTCAGGTCGCCAGGGTTCCAGAGGTACAGAGGAGGGACCTAGGCACCCCCCAGCCAGCCTCTGGGGCGCAGTTCCTAGCGTTCTGTGAATTCTACATGTCACTTTCTTTAGTTTTGGAGACAGCGGTGGCAGCTTGGTACACAGTGGGCCTCTCATTATCTCAGCGATTTCCATTCTAATTATGGAGTGCCCATTAGACATCAGGTCTGCTGGGCCCTTTACATGTGTCTCGTTTCAAATTTTCTTGAATTAAAATGATGGACAAAGGAGATCAACTGTAAATTGCCTCAGGCCGCGTCCTCCGTGGGTTGAAGTGTTTGTTCCCCTTTATCTTCGCTCTTCAAACCCCCCTCCCACCCCGTCTTCTAGAATGGTAGGCTACATCTTATACGGATGCTCTTCTGCGCTTACACGATTGCCTGCTCAAAGGTATCCGCTACCCCCTAGGTTAAGGAATCCCAATCCACTGACTCACAGCCACCTGGAGTCAAGGAGTGGTGTTTTAGGCATCACATGAACCTAGTCGCTAGCCAGACGGGCCAGAATGTGACCCTTAGCAGACTCCAGGTCCTCGCTGTAGGTGATAATTCTTGGGCGTTCCCGCAGTACCGCTGCCTAGGAGGGGATAGGGAGGATCGGGAGGAGGCCTAGAGTTTGCTATGGATTAGGAAAGTTTAAATTACTTTTCCTGGGAGAGGCGGGCTCTCCCTTATGCATACTCCTGCCTGGCTCCTGGGCCTTGGCTGGGGGGTGGGGAGCTGGGGAAAAGATCCCCCTAGTGTTTGCTGTGGATTAAGAAAGTCTCCGTTACTTCTTGAAGAGATCACCCCTCCCCTATGCATATTTTTGATGCATAGCCCAGAGGGCTTGGCTGGAAGTGGTCTGGGGGTGCATTTGGTTGTGAATTGAGGCTAGAGGCTTGTGCTGAAATCTTTAAGAAAGACATCTTTTTAAAGATGCTGCCAACTAGGGCCTGCTGCTTAGTGTTAAAGGTTTTGCTGAGATTCAAAGTCAGCTAGTCTGAGGCTTTTGTGGGCCAGATGGGGTTAAGTGGGAGGGCTCAGTTTGCCTGAGGCTGGTAGCTCTGCCCTCCAGGAAATTCTACTGTGTCCCACTTGCATATTTATCGCCTGGGTGGGAGGACAATTACAACGTTGTTTTGGAACGGATTGCCAAAAGTTTGCCCCTGGATGCCCAGATTACCCTTGAGAAAAAGTGGCAGAGGAAAACTATCCAGTCCCATTGCCAACATTTTAGGAGATCTTTCTTAGCTGCCTCAAGCAAACAGCACTATCTGGCTTAAGGGAATGAGTAAACCAAATTTGTTTTCCATGATCACTGCCTATGTGCAGCCCCAGGGATGGGGGTGGGGCAGAGAGTTTGCCCCTCAACTGTTAACATAATTTCCAGAGGCGTGTTAGTTTACCGAAGAGGACAGTCTGGTTCCTTCTCCCTCTCGGCTTTCACCCACAAATAGCAGACATCTTGGCTTTAAGATGCTTTGAACCTCCAGAATTATTAGTGGTGATATTGGCCATTTTCAGTTGATTGGTTAAATTCAGCGCATTGTATAACTCTAGGGTTCTATGCAAAGTAAGCTAAACTCTCTAAGAATTGGTTTTCTAACTAGAAGTGAAAAGTCTCTCAAGGATGAGACTCTTGTGGTAATGGCCAATGTTTCAATGACTTGAAGACATTTGGCTGTTGGCTATTAGGACCAGAGGAAGGGCAAGTGAGATCTGCAGAGAAAAGTAACAGCCCATCCAGTAGTGTGGAGTGCCTGCTGTGCATGCCCCAGGCAGTCAGGATATAAATGCTTCCACCCTAGAGTTCCTGAATCGATTGACAGAAATGATTAAGCCTCTAGGTTCTGGCTTTTGTTACTTCCTAGCTGTGTGATCTTAGGCAAATTGCCAGTCCCTCTGGGCCTTAGTTTTCTTGCTTTTACACTGGGGATAATAAGGGTACTTAGAGAGTTATGGATAAGTGAGTTAAGAGTGGAAGGGTACTTAGAGAGTTATGGATAAGTGAGTTAAGAGTAACTCTAGCTAGAATTAGTTGGGTTGGTGGGGAGACTCAAATATTAATTATTAACTACCATAGGAATGTGAATGCTAACCCAGAAGCACAAGCAAGGATATGATAAATCTTGAGCTGGGGAAGGTTTCTTGTGTGGATTTGAGGCCTATGGAGAAGGAGAGGTATGGGCTCAGCCCAAAAGTTCTTGCCCTCTTGAATAAGGCAAGAACTCAACTATGTTGGCTACAGGATGGGAAACTATTGGGGTCAGAAAAAGTTGAAGGTGAGGCTAAATCAAGAAATGTGGAAATTCCCTTGGGATTGTGGGTGGGGCTCTGGAAGTTTTTTTCTGGAAGGTTTTTGAGAAGGAAAACCTCAGTTGGATCTATATCGTCAGCTGTGGTTGGGATATGTGACCTGTTTGAGTCTCAGTTTCCTGATGTGCAAAATGGAGAAATAATAGAATCATCCTCTCAGAAGTGTTGCATAGATTAAATGAGATAATGGGTGCAAAATGTGTAGCATGTTTTGTGTCTGTATGAACTGCCCAATAGGAAGTTAGCTGACAGTGGATGGTAGCTATTTTGTTACCTGCAGTAGGAACAAGGGATTTGCTAACCTGATTGTGCTGATCAGTGGATCTGGACAGGACTCCGAAGTGCCATTTAAATGGTTTTATTTCCCAGCCTAGCTGTCTTTCAACTATGTGCCTTAGGGTAAGTTATGAAATTATTTCTTTACTATTGTGGATTCTGTAATTTAGAGAACAGATTTGGGGTGGGGAGATTGGGTACCTTTGGGAAAGTATTCATGCCAGAGGTTTAAGTCCCTTTAAGTCCCTTTTGTAAAGCTGGATCCAATTTCAGGTCTTTAGCTGTGGGAGATAGCCCCTTCCCTCAACCCCAGTCACACTGTCCTCCCAAGGCTTATCAGAAACAAATAACCCAGAAGTTAAATCAGTTAGTTGACTGATGTTATTCATTCCTGACTCAGAGTGGCTGGTGGGACCCATGTGAAGTATATAGACTAGAAGTGAATGTCTTCTTACCCCATCCCATTCTTTTTTCTCTTCCTTTGGTTTCTCCCAAGGATTCTTCAAAGGGATTGAGTTTAGAATTCCTTCAAAAGTACTCTTGGCCTTTTACCTGGCTCTGTAGCCTGCGTCCTCCAGTAGTCATGGATGTGTGAATGTGTGTCTTTTTCTTGTCCCATCATTTTTTATTAGGGAAGTTTTCAAAGGTGGAATACTTGTCACCTGGTCCTAACAACAATGAACACAAGGCTATTACTGTCATCCTTCCTCCATCCACCCCCCAACACTATTTTGAGACAAATCTACAGCTGTCATAAATAATTTAAAATATGTCTCTATAGATAAAGACCAAAATACACGATTATACTCATATTAACAAAGGTGTTCATATTGCTAATTGTCTCATAACTTCATTTTTTTTTTTCAGTTTACTGAATCAGGTCCACATAATGTCCACACATTGTAATTCATTGGTGTGTCTTTTACTTTATGTATTTTTCCTCCTCTTTTTTTAGTTAATTGTTGAAGAGATGGGAGATGGCTAATTTATTTCGTAGAGTCCAGCAATCTGGGTTTTTGCTCCTTACTCCCATATGTTTTCATTTGGGTTTGCAGCTATGCTGTCCAAAATGGTAGCAGTGACCACATATAACTACTTACATTTAAATTAAATAAAGTGAAGTAAAACTAAAAATTAAATTGCTTACTTGCACGACTTATATTTCAAGTGCTCGGTAGCGATGTGTGACTAGTGCCTACTGTATTGGACAGTACAGATTAGAACATTCCTATCATCACAGAAAGTCGTATTGCATCAACACTGCTGTAGATACTTGATCAAGTTTATTGTAGCTGAAATCTGTCACAGTAGGGGTGTCTATTCCTATCAAGAGCTACATAATGTTTGGTTGCCTCTGTGATGTTAGCAGCCATTGATGCTCAAGGTCTAAATATTTTAGGTTATTAGGGTTTGTAGATCAGTAATATTCTAATCCTGTCCCTTCTTTATTAGTTGAAATTCTTCTATGTAGAGATACTTCCCCTGCTTCCTAGTGAGACAGTTCACTTAGGAAAGGCAGAATAAAATCCCTTTTATTTACTAGTTTTCAAGAAAATCAGTTGGTTCACCAGAATTCTTTAGTGATGGCCAATTAGTTTACTTTTAAGTATTGTTGTGAATTGTGCATTTAAGCACAGTAGTTTATAAAAACATCCATTTGATCTTTGGAAGGGACCATAAATGCTGTCCCTAATTGTCTTCTTTCTCCCAAGATAGTTGGATGCCCCTCTCCCTGCCTCCATTGTAACTCACTGATCATCTCCTTGACTGCACATTTGGCTAATCAGACGCCTCTTGAACTGGACACACCAAAGGCAGGCTTGTATCTTCAGCATCCAGCACAGCAATGCCTGACTCATAGGAGGACAAAAGTCAACACAGAACAGAAATCCAGACAGGGAAAAAGGGGTCAACAGTCCCTAGATGTGATAGCATTTGGAGGAAAACAGGAAGCAAGAAGAAAAAGGAGATCTGGGAAAATGCTTAGAATGGATGCTCGAAAAAGTTTAATTTAAAGAGTAAAAAAAAAAAAAAAAAAAAGAGTCATAAGAATACAATATATATTAACTGCATCAGC